AATCCTTTGAGCTTGAAGGTCTCCAAAGACTTTCAAAATATCCCTTAGATTCCGTCTTAAATCAAAGTTTATGTCCCATGCAGCAATCGAATATGCCATTAGGGGAGACCGAAGCCATTCTCACGTATCAGTCAGATGAGTAGATCAGCCAGCGAAGCAGAAGGTAGTTAGGAGTTCTCATGGCTGAAAGGCACCATCACAATATTTGGCAACTCCGGCATATCTGCGCTTGCATTCTGATGACATGGCGTTATAATGTCTGTACATCCAGAAATCGTCACTCGCTCAATTACATTCTTGACCCCGTATGTAGTGAACCTTCTAGGCCTTGGCGGATAATGCTCGAAAAGGTGGCAGATTCTGCTTTTTTTGCACCGAAATTGGCAGAACCATACAAACCTTATGGCGGGCAATTCCTCTTATTCTGCTCCATTTCTTTATCCACATACCAAACATGCATGAAACTTACCAGAAAAAGTACCGAATTCTGCCAATTTTTCTGCCGGCATTATCCGCCAAGCCCTAGAACCTTCCCGGCCTGGTCGACAAGGTTCTTGCCGAGGGAATCAGTTAGCTGTCGAACATGATCGGTGTTGGTCTCTGTTGGGCTCGGCAACGCCGAAATCATGGGCAGGGAAATCGCGATGCTCCGGAAAAGCTACCGACTTCTACGGATGAACTCATGACTGTGGCACGGTTCAAGTATCACCAGGGATACAAACTTACAGAGACTCCCCGTTTCCAGCGCGATAAACACCTAGTGAACACCAGATATTGTTTTTTTACCATTAAATTTTCTTGGTTGCGGTTTAGTTATAATTTTAACATAATAAATTATATGTAAAAATGAGAAGAAACACATGAGAACGAGTTATGTAGCAACTATCCACGACTGTAACGAGATGATAAACGGTCAGAAAGTGCGATAATAGGGCACAAAACTGACAGGCTACTGAGACATTCAGCGACCCGAGGCCTAGCTCTAACACATCTCCAGTGCGCAAACCAACAGCCTTCCAACTTGGAAGATTCATGGTTACGTAGGACCGAAGAGTCCCCTTCCCCTCTTCGGTCCTACATAACCATGAACCTTCCAAGTTGGAAGGCTGTTGGTTTGCGCACTGGAGATGTGTTAGAGCTAGGTCTTGGGTCGCTGAATGTCTCAGTAGCCTGTCAGTTTTGTGCCCTATTATCGCACTTTCTGACAGTTTATCATCTCGTTACAGTCGTGGATAGTTGCTACATAACTCGTTCTCATGTGTTTCTTCTCTTTCTTTACTTTTAAAGTACATTTTATTACTGGCTCAGTATCCGAGTTTAAATAATAAATTATGTTAGTATAATTTGGTGCAGCTTTAGCGCTATGTGGTTTATGATATCCCTTTTTCTTAATTTCGTATTTAGCGCTTTTGGGCGTCATTATTTTCTTCTCATTATTTCGCACCAAGTTATAATTTTTGTGGTATTCTCTAGCTTCTGTTTGTTTTGCAGTTGTTCTTGTGCAACCCCCCCCCCCCCACACCCACCCATTTTTTGATGCCTAGTTGCAAGGCTAACGCCAAGACCTCTGGTCGGTTGAGTTGCTCCCAGCACATCAGCAAGTCGTCCCTATATCCCCTACGTTTTGTGCTTTTCCTCGTTTCTTTTTGCTCTCCACCTGTTTTCCAGTAGGGCTGTGTCAATAGTAAAAAGCTTGGCGATCTTTTGGATAAGTCTGGTATTCGGAGAATTTTTCGGCCGGCAGATTTGTTGATTTACTAGTAACGATCTTGCTAATGTCTAATGTTTGTTTGAGAGGAGGTCAAAGGACAAGGGTTACACTACCTCAACGCACTAGTACTACAGGTACTGAAGTACAGAGCTCGAGCGGTCTTGCTTGCAGCAACATATTTCGTTCGTAAGCAACAAAATTTGGTAGATTTTCGGCGATTCTCAACGGAATCCACCAAATCGGCGAAAGGCTTAGCGATTTTTCGGTAAGTCTCGTTTTCGGCGAATTTTTTGGCCGGCCGAAATGGGGAAAGCCTAATTGTGTGACAACGCATGCATAGCAGTCAAAGATGAACACGATTACTTGATCAGTTTTGTGAAAGAAAATAAATAGGAATTCCAAATATTTCCAAGAAAAGCCGAAAAATTGAGGAAACCAATGAAATGACACTGGTAACACGTGCAAATCACAATATGAGGTTGCGCTTGTCATCGAATTGCGGTTTACTTGTAGACACGTAACTCAACTGTGCATGTGGCCACTAAGTGAACATGTGCTGTGTAAAACTTTCTCTCTCTATCACTCACCCATCTCCCTCTCTCTCTATGTTTCTCTCTCTCTCTCTTTCTCTCACTCTGTCTCTCTCTCTTTCTCTCTCTCTCTCTCTCTCTCTCTCTCTCTCTTTCTCTCTCTCTCTCTCTCTCTCTCTCTCTCTCTCTCTCTCTCTCTCTCTCTCTCTCTCTCTCTCTCTCTCTGTCTCTCTCTCTTTCTCTCTCTCTCTTTCTCTATATCTTTCTCATTTTCTCTCTCTCTGCGCCATTCCTGTTGCCGCCACCCCCACCCCCACTGATGATTACTGTGTACCGGTACGCTGATCCCAAGACTCTTGGTCGGGGAGTTCCCCGCACCTCACCAGCGCAGCTCATGTAGCACCTACATACCCATTGTAGTTTCTAGTATTTTCTTCGTTTTTTGTTTCCCCGTCTTCGTAGGTATGTGCAGTGTGACCAAAACAACAAAAACACAATACGCCATCCCTCACATCAGGCAGTGAACTGGCTTGTCAAGTAAAATTTTGAGTGCATTGCTCTTTTTACCTACTCGTAGTGGTCCTCTTTGTTAGTCGCACACAAACGAACTCAAACTGTCTGTGAAAGAGCTGACCATGGCTCCCTCACAAACAACCTCATTAGTAGGTCCCGGCTTTTCATCCCCAAAACGAATGAGCGATGGGGGGTTCCCGCCTGGCAACACTGGAAACATCCTCACTGCCTGAAAAGAGAGAAAAGGGTACTTATTTCTCTCTTTCCAGGCTGTTCAATTCCCCCGCTGAACCTTCGAACTTGAAGGTCTCCCAATCCTTTCAAAATATCCTCTAGACTTCCATGGGGGGGGGGGGGGAGTGGCAAGAGGAATGACGCAAGTGCTCAACTGCATAATATGCTCCCTTATAATCTGACCAGACACACGCTTACACGCTATGATCAAATTGTGATGTAGAAACTTCATTCTACCAATGGAAATCAGTACAGTGAGAAAATGGATGATGCAAGATGAAATCTACAAACGCAAATGCGGTGTCACTTTTCTTTTTGAAGAAGCATGAAACACATTTGAAGGAGCATGAAACACGTTTCTCCACCAAGAACGTGTGAGAAGTGTCGACAGGCCTGGCTATCAATGTCATGGTTGACCCCATTCTCTTCCTCTCCATGTCCTACGTACCTTTCCAGGAAGCCCAAGATTATGAGGGTTGAGTCACTCAGTGAGTGAAACTGGAGTTATTATCCAAGGAACACAACAAATTCCAGAAATTTTTCTGTGGCTCTTTCGAAAAGGGTAAATATTCATTGGTTATGATTCTGTTGGAAACCCTCCCAAAGGTGACCCTGCGTACGCGCCTGAACAGGGTTCTCCCCCGCCTGAATCGGCTCTGTAGCAGACACTAGAGTCAGTGACTATCAACAATGCAAGCCTCCATGTGATCTTCATCACATTAATTCCTCAAATAAGCATGCAAAATTGAGAAATGACAAAAATCATTATCTGTTCCGGCAAAAAGGCAAGGAAAGTAGATCAAGCTCAGCTGCCAAGTTCAATACAGAGTCAACGCAAGTCTCAGCGGTAGCAAAAATGTGATCAAAGTCAAGTGAAAAATGAAAAGAGTACTGTGCAATTGTCACAGCAAATAACTTTGCTTTAGAGCAAGCCACACTGGATTTTAAAGACCACGGACATTTATGTACAGATGAAGCCGCAAAAAAAGTAAAGATGCTCTAAAAAAATATAAAATAAATTATCGTGTCCGTTCCTGAAGGGAACTCACGACGGCCGCTTACACCCGATAAACCCTAGCGCTAGATGCTCTATGCTCTAGAGGTAGCCAAATTGAATTTTAAGAGAGCGGGAATATTTATGTATACATGTACAACTTAAAGCTTCATGCCATCTCAGGCACTCATCAGGATATATACATGTACATGTACATGACATGTAGTAGCAAAACACACAGCCAGTGGAAACATACCAGCAGTCTTGGCAAGCACACTGCACAGCAAACAATAAAACAAAATAAGTATGTGTGTGTGCGCAAGTGCGCGTGAGTGGAATTGGGAGAGAGGATGGGAGAGAAGAGGGAAGAGGGGGGGGGGGGGGGCAGAAGTGGTAGTCCTGCTGTTTGAGAAAATATTTCCAAAGAAGGTCACCTTCAATAGAATCAACATGGGGTATATCCACAACTAGTGAGCAAGCAACTCAAGAATACAATAATGATACATGGGGAGATGAGGAAAAATAACACGTTGGATAGGGCAGAGCAGTGGCAGGGGAAGAACGACACGAACAAGCATACCGGGATACGGGCAACGAGTTCTGTCGACTGTATGAGTATGACTGTTGTGATGTTCATGGAGTGCTGGGAGAAAGCAGTCTTGCACAATCGGAACAGTGATGTACATGGAGTGCTGGGAGAAAGCAGTCTAGCAGAATCTGAACAGTGATGTACATGGAGTGCTGGGAGAAAGCAGTCTAGCAGAATCTGAACAGTGATGTACATGGAGTGCTGGGAGAAAGCAGTCTAGCAGAATCTGAACAGTGATGTACATGGAGTGCTGGGAGAAAGCAGTGTAGCAGAATCTGAACAGTGATGTACATGGAGTGCTGGGAGAAAGCAGTCTAGCAGAATCTGAACAGTGATGTACATGGAGTGCTGGGAGAAAGCAGTGTAGCAGAATCTGAACAGTGATGTACATGGAGTGCTGGGAGAAAGCAGTCTTGCACAATCTGAACAGTGATGTACATGGAGTGCTGGGAGAAAGCAGTCTTGCAGAATCTGAACAGTGATGTACATGGAGTGCTGGGAGAAAGCAGTCTAGCAGAATCTGAACAGTGATGTACATGGAGTGCTGGGAGAAAGCAGTCTAGCAGAATCTGAACAGTGATGTAACAGACATTATGCATGTGCATGTACATATACACACATACACACACACATGCATGCACACACACACACATACACACACACACACACACACACACACACACACACACACACACACACATATATATACACATACACATACACATATATATACAAAAGGAAACACACACATGTAAACACCCACAAACACCCACAAACACGCACATCATGTACACACACGCACACCAACAGATGCACACAAACACACACAAACTTGTTCTATACAGACACTGACCATACAAAAGCACACCCACACATGAACACACAGGCTTCCCCATATGAGTGCCCAGATTCCAACACACCCACACCCTCACTCCCGCCCCCCCCCCCCCAATACACACAAACACACACGCCTACACACATATACACACACACACACATACACACACACACCTACCCCAACTCCACCCCAACACACAGCCTCAAACCGACCCTCACACCCAGCCTCACTCTCACACCCACCCTCACACACAGCCTCACACCCAGCCTTACACCCGGCCTCACACCCAGCCTCACACGCAGCCTCACCCCCACCCTGACACCCAGCCTCACATCCAGCCTCACGGTCACCCTCAAACCGACTCGCCTGTCCGACCGTCGACCATTTATAAGTTCACAAATGCCTGGACTACTTGGTGCTGTCTGGGATCGATAGCTATATGAAGCAGGGAGTTGGATCGATTGTGGCCCCAAACTCCAAAACCGTTTGTTGGCTTGGAGCATTTCTCTTGCAGAGCTGAAGCCAATGGAATTTATACCATCTCCAGCTAGTCATTGGACATTTTGGTAGAACGTAATGGAGTGTGCAGGCCAGCCATCCTTTGCCAAGTTGGCAAGGAAAGATGAAATCAGGTGGAGATAGACCTGAGGTCAAGTACGAGATATGTTTGTAGCACCTCGGCTTCCGGCATGAATTAAAATTCTCGATTTTGTACTTCTGAACAAGCCAAGATATTGCACCCCCCCCCCCCAACATACACACGCGCACACACGCACACACACTAACACACACACATACACACACACATGCACACACACTAAAACACACACACACACCCGCGCGCACACACACGCACACGCACACACACGCACGCACACGCACACACACTATCACACACACACACACACACACACTAACACATGGGTGGCGGCAGCGGTCCGGTTGGTTAGGTCATGGGTAGACCAACTGTTTGGCCACCAAGGTGTGTTCCATGCTGAGTAGTAACATGTATGTATACCCGCTATATCAGACACAAATTACCAAATACTATGGTATGGGCAGACTAATGAAAATCTGCTTGCTCCGCTCCTGTAACATACATGTAGAGGTGAATGTATGACTATGAGAAATAAAAAACCACACAACAAACTTACCACATCATGCCTAGAGTTCCTACTACAGTAGCCTTAGCATGGTGTTGTGCAGATCTTGCAAGTTGAGCTTGCTCACTGCTGCACACAGCTTTCTGTATGCATCCCGCTCTCCAGCACGGATGTATCCAATCAACTTCAGGTGATGACTCTCTACACCTTCAACTCGTTCTATACGGTTTAGTTCCGGAAGGGGATCAAAACCACTCAGGAGTCCTTCTGCCTGAACGCTTTGCCGCAGTGCATCACAAGATATCTTGTACAACTTTGGTAAGATATGTGCGGTGAACAAGTCGTCGTCAAATGGATCAGCTGTAAACAGAAAACAGAAATAGAGGCACACAATACATATAGTTCATTTTAAGTACTCTACGAGTGCATTTTGTCATGAAATACCTAGGAAGAACATGGTCAGCATAAGGTAACCAAGTTGAAGGAAACATGTGATCTTACTGTGTAGGAGAATAAGGCAAAGAATCCAACGAAACACCATAGGATTTGCATTGAAATGTCAGTTTTCTATACACACTGGGAGAAAATGGAGGTTACTACATGCCCACCCACACAGCACTTTCTAAACTGTAATTGGTGATGAACACTCATTCTCTTGCCACCCTCGTCTGTTTATGCAGGGTGCCTAGTCGATTCAAGGATGGTAATAGGGTAAGTGGATGCGGATGTCAGAAAAGAGAAAGTGGAGTTGGGAAAAGCAGAGGTGGATGTGGAGGAGAGGAACGGAGGCAGATGTGAAGAGGGTGGTGCGAAATGACTTTTAATAAATAAAATCACGGTTCGCACAAGAGTCAGCTGGAGGCCGAGTTTTTCGCATCCGTATGAACACCATGAAGGTCTAGGATCAAAGCGCAGAAGACGCTCTTAAGCGGCGAGAGAGATGAGTGGATCAGAACCACCACAAAGTGGACAAAGACTACTGCAGAATGAATAAAACTAAAAAATTATGTTGAGGATCACTATCTGTCTCATACCTTCACTCTCTGCTACAGTCACTGCTGCTGCTGCTGCTGCTACTACTGCTGCTGGTGGTGCTGCTGCTGCTGCTGATGCTGCTGCTGCTTCTGCTGCTGGTGCTGCTGCTGCCGCTGCTCGTGGTGCTGCTACTGGTGCTGCTGCTGCCGCTGCTCGTGGTGCTGCTACTGGTGCTGCTGCTGCTGCCGCTGCTCGTGGTGGTGCTACTGGTGCTGCTGCTGCTGCCGCTGCTCGTGGTGCTGCTACTGGTGCTGCTGCTGCTGCCGCTGCTCGTGGTGCTGCTACTCGTGCTGCTGGTGCTGCTGCTGCCGCTGCTCGTGGTGCTGGTGGTGGTGCTGCTGCTGGTGGTGCTGGTGCTGCTGCTGGTGCTGCTACTGGTGCTGCTGCTGCTGCTGGTGCTGCTGCTGATGGTGGTGGTGGTGCTGCTGGTGCTACTGTTGATGTGAGCAATTCTGCTGCTACCTCAGCCTCTGTTACGACAAACAGAAATGAAGCGAAAACCAGACGTACTAGTATGTATGAAAGCCTTTGAAAAATTTCTTATAACATGTTGTAAATCGCAGGAAATTCTGTCTAGGCAAGTGATCATCATGAATATGAAGTAGCAGAGGTTGTGAAGTAAAACGGACTCACCCTGGACCAGAGTGTACTTGTCAGAGTCCACGATCAGCTTATCCGTAATGCGCATGGCGTGCAAATGAGATCGGAGCATCCCCATGCTGCAAATCAAAACAACACATCAAAATATAGACACAGAAACAGGCATACCCACATGGCGGCAAAATCATACACCCACATTCACACAAGCAGGCTCGCTCGCACCAACGCATGCGAGCGCACGCATGCACGCACACACACATACACACAAACACATACAGAAGTAGAGAGGAAACCAATATCATAATCACATATTGTTCAATTTATGGCTATTAGCCATAGAAACAGATGTCGTTCAGAAAGTGGTGAAAATCATGCAACTGCATTGTAAAATAGAGCGGTTGTCAGTTGACAATACCCCCTTTAAGTAAGATGTTATTGCAGAATACAATGCACACTTCATAGGTACTGCAGATTGCAGTGGTGTTCTTGAGAGGAATCCGAATTTACACTACAACCCATTCATCACTATGAGAAATGAAACCAACTTGAGAGAAATGCTATACTCACCATGGGGTTTGGCCAAGGAAGGACGTCTCGTGTGCAGTTTGGAAGCAATCATCCGCCAATGGAACATCTGTTAGAAGGCATCAAGACAAACATAACAGATACAAAACAATAGATGGAGTGTGTACAAGACAAACACTGGACGTGTTGAAAACATCAACTAGAACAAGACCACCGACAGTATCACAATAGACTGAATAAACTTGAATGTAAGTATTCTCCATTGTTTCTAAAAACACTAAAAAATCAATACACATTACACTAAGACTATACACCATACAGAAAACAACCATCACATTCAGATTTTCCGTGTTTCATCTTTTACGCTGTTTTTCAGTCGTGAGTCAGTCAAATGAGAATTCAAGTCGGCAGAAAAACCGCAAGCTCCCATGTAGGGAGCAACACACTCTTCCCCTACTATCGCCCAAGTCGCACCAATCTCTTCTTCACATTTTTAGGTCATGCTGTGTTTATTACACTACCAAATAATGTGGCAGTGAGAGGTCTTCTGCCGAACTATGGACCATGGTGGATTGAATTTCAACTGGATTTTACTAATTTCCGCCAGGTTTAGGATCGACAAGTTGACTGTTGTGTTGACATAAACCTATTGTCAGGCGATATTATGAAAACTTGTTCTGAGACTATATTGGCTTCAATTGGGTTTGAAAAAAAGACAGAGATGAAAAAAGGCGGTCGGTCGGGTGATCCAAAACAACGAATTTATTCTGGGTGGCCTTATGTACATTTTGTTCGAAGGCTATATCGGCTTCAATTGGGATTGAAAAAGGTAGAGATACTCAGATGGGAATGGATTGTAGACCAAATTAATATACATGATACACAAACTCACTCTCAATCTCACAGCGGAGACGCTCTTCCTGGTTGAAACGCTGTTGCTCATAGGTGATGATGTCAGGAAATGCGTTCAGCAGCTGTAATACCATAGACGTACACACATACACATAAACAGACACACACATACCATGTTCACACACACACACACACACACACACACACACACACACAAACAGACACACACACACACAAACAGACACACACACACAAACAGATACACACACACACAAACAGACACACACACACACACATGTACACACATAAACACAAGAAAAGTGTTAGAAAGCAAACAAAGATTCCTCGGGGGAACAAAGCATAAAAGCAATATTATCCTTCTGTCTAGCTTGGCTAAAATCATAAAAACAATAAAAGGGAAAACAGGGAAAACAGACATCAATTATCCTGCGATTATCCAAAAGGCATTTATCCCCTGTTTTCAAGCAAAAACTCGAGAAAACTGACATGAGAAACTCAAAAAATTATTAAAACTTTAAAATAGAATGGGTAGACCATTTTCCCATGCACAGAAACTTTGCAAATGACTCAAACGTTCAGGAAAAAGACATTACTTGCACATGGTTCTCGTCTTTAGTTTATACATGTAAGTAGACCTGTACTATCCTGTGTACTCGTGTTATGGCGCTTTGCCACTATGTACCGTCAGCTGTTATGATTGCTGTATTAATCCGTTTCCAGTTTTGAGTGTTGGAGTAAATTGTTGACAATTTGTGTGTTTTTTGGTTTTTTGGCAGTTGCACGCGTGTGTTCACCTCATTGTCCTCGCTCGTTCCTCATTTCTTTTGTTCATTTGGCTCATGTGAAGACTAGCCAAGCTTGCTTGGTGATGTCAGCACGAACAGCCACACTACCAACAAGAGTGCATGAAAACCAGAGTGTGCAGCTACGGATGGGTTGCTATCACGGCAGAATTCCGTGATGACATCATCTTAGCGCTGTAGTGCGTACAAGCAGGATTCTCTTTCTGCACAACTGCAGCTCAGTTGTAAGCACTATGCCATGTCCCGCCTCAGGTCTGCGCCAAATATGACGTAATCACGAAAGTTCGCCGTGACAGACACCCATATTAGAAAAAGCCCCAGGCTGCACACTCTGCTTTCAATGTACTCTTGATAATAATAATAATAAAATGAAATTGCCACTCACCATGCTCTCATTCTCCTCCAGCATCTTGCAAATCTCTCGGTAGAAGTTGGCGAATGGCGAAGAGGAGCAGTGCTGTGCTATCAAGCTAAACAGCAGAGTGGACGTGTGACGGTCACTTTTGCTGCACCACGCCAGCAAAACCAGCGAGGCATTCGTCTGACTCGATCCAGTGGACGACACTGATGCAGCACCAGCAAGCCTGCTGATCTCTCTCTCACTCACGTCTAGATGTGATTGGAGATCGTCCAGGAATGAAGAATCTCGCAGACTCTCCAGGCGATCGGTACACTGAACAGGAAGCATGCTGACGTGCGTGGCAGGAACGTAGTGGAGATCCTCAACTGAGTCAACGAAGACACCACTGGAATCTTTGACATCTCTGCTTTGCGCGCTGTTGGCAGCACGAATGACGGCTTCGGATGAGTACGATCCAACAGCTGAAGAGATTGCAGCTGGTGAAGCCGATTGCTCGATAAGCTGACGCATGCTGCTCAAGCTGAGTACAGCGGGCTCTACCGAAGTACCACGACTGTACCTCTTGAGTAGATCGAGGAAGAGACGACGAAATAACCAGTGAACATGGTGAACTACTTGCAGGTACCTACTGCAACTGGACGTCACTACAACACAACAACGCTGACGGTCGGACGAAAACACAATCAGCGCTGTTGTATGCGGATACGGGTGGACAATGATGGCGTTCTTAAAGAACATAGGATCAGTACTGGAGAAAAAGCAGGCGGAGTAATCGTACACACGTGCTTGGTATTGTACAATGAGCGCAGATGAGAATGGCACACAGCCATTGCAGGTGTACACAGAGCCAACCATCACTTGTGAGGTCATGAAGGCTCTGTGCACCTTCAATGGCTGGGTGCACTCAGGAAACAGGGAGAGAGCAAGGATATATTTCTGATAGCGGATGGTCAAGCCGAGCTGTAGAACCAAACGCACGCAAAGTGGAGCATGTTCGCCGACTTTGGCGAAGGCAGTGAGTGAACGGACGAACTCCTCTTCACTAATCTTGTACTCCCTGGCAATGCCATCAGGTCCGATTGGGAAGACGTTGGAAGAGTACACGAAACCGATCACGTCCTGCAGGAGCCAGCGAGGCTGATGAACCACCAGATCATTCAGTTCCGGGAATGTTATGACCTTTAGCAGTATCAAAGGCATTCCACATGCACATACAAACACACAAAAACAACACATACATACGTACATGCACACACACACATACACACACACACAGTGCCACATACACACACACACATACACACACAGTGCCACACACACACATGAGCGCGCACACAGACACACAGACACACACACACACACGTACACACAACAGAAATGCATATCAAGTACAAAGAAACGTATAGATAAATTTCCCCCTCTAATCCGGCACTTGTCTATCCACAACCCTTGCCAACCAGCCCATTATCTGGCAAAACGATTTTTTAAGTTCATTTCCTACACTTTAATCCGGCACTTGAATTCCGTCACCCGCGGCGATTTTCTGCAACAAATCGCTCAAACAGTATATAATTCGATTTTATAATCCAACAGTTGTACATCGCATACCGTACCCGTGCATAGCTATGTTAGTTTGGTCAGTGCATGACATGCATGAACTAACTTATCAGGTAGCATTTTGCACATGTAACATACACTTGGGACTATCCTATAGCTTGTGTAGACATGCATTCCACAAAGCACTCAGATTGACACAGAAAATCTCTGCGTTTTGACGTACAACAAAAACATGTATGTAGGGTAACCTCCCGCGACAGCGCGTCCATGTTAGCGCGGTGCAGTTCAGCGCAACCGCCTTAGCGCGAGGCATTTCAGCTCTGTGCCATTTCAGCGCCGTCTCTTGACAGCGCCAATGATCTCAGCGCGAAATTTTAAAGCGCAGGACATGTCAGCGCCAATTTCTTCAGCGCAGATTTTTCCGCGGGAGGCACTTCAGCGCCGTACATGTTAATGTACGTACGGGCACCAATTAGTGACTATTAGTGACTATCAAGGTATGCTGTTGTCAACTGATGGCATTGCCATTCCTGCCAGAAGACCAGGTCACAGGCGCCTTCGATTGGTTGGAGGAGATCGCCTCTGATTTAAACCTTCAACAATTGCCAGTGGACACAGTGGATTGAGAATGCTAACGTTCCGATGTCGCTGTGGTGCTGCCATGGAAGGGACGTCAGGACCAACAACGGTGTTGAGGGATGGCACCATCGATTTAGCCGAAAAGTGAACATCACCCATCCCAACGTTTGTGTGCTGTTGGAGCAACTGAAGAAGGAGGCTTCGCGTACGGAGCTTCTTGCCGTCAGATGCCAGATGCAAGCTGGCCAGCGCATCCCAGTCGGGAAAGCTTCATATACTCGCCTTAACGATCGAGTTCACGTCCTGGAAGTCAGACGTGCAAATGGGGAAATCACTAATTTTGAATTTCTTTGGAATGTTGGTCGACTTCTTCATTTCTAATCTACGGATTCTCTTGTCATATCGCTATATGCCTACTAAATAATTTCAATAAACTATGTGAAAACAAGTTTGTCAAAGAATCACCAAATCACCAAATCCCGCTAGCGTGAGTGCAGACGAGACCACTAATTCTGTGCGTACGATAATGCGCACGATACTGCGTACTAAAGTACGCGCGAAAGTGCTCCGCGCTGACATTATATGCGCTGAAGTGCCTGGCGCTGACATTACCTCGCGCTGAAGTGCCTGGCGCTGCCACTACCCCACGCTGAAATGCCTTGCGCTGAAGTGGTCGCGCTGAAATGCTGCGCGCTGTAGTGGACGCGCTGTCGCGGGATGGAATCATTCCAAATACTTGAGCCGGGTTGGAGGACAGAATTTGATAATCCAGCACCCTTGTTTATCCAGCAGAAAATGTCGCTGCAAAAGGTGCCGGATTAAAGAGGGATGACTGTAGTTTTAAAACTTGTCTCCCATTATCTATTGTATAAATATACAACCTAATGGGCTATTGGTGTGCATACAGCAAACAGTTTCGGTTAAATTTTGCGCTGGACTTCAGAATTGTTCCTTAAATTCATGGCACACCGCCCATATTCTCTTAAGTGGGCATAAAACTTCTCAACATGATGTCTTCAGTTCTTACTCATCGTACACACACAACTACAATAGTTCGTTCTCCAGCGGGCAAATTTCTCCCCCAAAGAGCTGCAGTAGCTAGATTACCATTGGGCTTTAGTGCATGTGCATGTGTGGTTCATGAGGTTCTCGGAGAAACACAATCCACATGTTTCAAATTGGTACGATCACATGTTTGCCAACTCATCCGAGTCGGGCATTCACATGAGTGATATCTAGAATGTAACACATCGTGCAGGTTATAGGGGCACCCAACCGGCAAAGCCTTCCAAAGCTTGATGTCATAATGGGCTTTGAGCATAGCAAACCTCAAGGTGAACAAGGAAATCATTCTCTATGTACACACATAAATTCATCATCACATGTCATCATTTCTAGGCATGTGTTGCTCTTACATATCCATATGCACTCAAGATGCGTAGATATCTGTCTATCCGGTCAGCGAATCGTTCTGACGGTGCAGTGTCGGTTCCTTGGCTTGAATTGTAGAGTGCCAGCACAAACTCATCTCTTGAGCAGTATGGATTGGGCATAGATGCCTGAACCGCATCCAAATGCTTTCGAGCCATTTGCAGCGAACGTGGTTGCTTGGGAGATTTCTGCAGCCAAAGTTGAAAAAGTAATAATTTCATAGGAATGTGTTAGATTGCCACACGGGAGCTTGCGCATTTTCGCCGACTTGACTAGACACTTGACTGACTCACGACTGCTATCCAGAGCACACGAGAAATCCCTCAAACATTTGGCTCGGCAAATGTGCAAGAAAGCACCACTCCCTCCTCAACACTTTCCAACTGTACAATACATGTAATCGCTAAAGTTGCGACCACTCTTCTCGTACTGTTGTGCCTGACGCTGGCTGACGACTAGCTGTTTCCGAGATGAAAGAGGTGTGAATAACCATGGGTCCTCATCGTCTGTTCTACCTAACCATGAGCCGCACTGACTCACGCTGTTATCTGATGTGCACTAGGGGTTCATCGCGCTGGAAATGGAGCGTCTCAGTTTTTATCCCTGGTTATGTTTGGATCTGGAGAGCATTTAACGAGTATATAAGTGGTGCAGACAAAATCTTCCAAGAGAAAGCAGCAGGGAGAAGTGCTTTCTTGCACGTCTGCCAATTTAATAGTTCGAGGAACTTCCCATGTGTCTCGTGTCGACATCACAACAGTACAAAATAGACGCAGTCTTGAGTCAGTCAAGTGTCAAATCAGGTCGGCAGAAAATCTTAATCATATAAAAGGGTGGCAAAATACTGGCATAGTAGAAGTCACGATCCGGGTATAAAGGTTTGCATCAGGATTTTATAGTGGTGGTGAGCAATTTCCGTACAAATATACATCTTGCAGGTCGCACGCTTCACATTTCGGCAGGACAGCGCAAATTTGATTGGAAGTATAGGATTAAAGTGGTGTTGCGCCTTTTCCGATCAACATCAGTCTATTGACAGGGAAATATAGACATACCGAGTTGTGATATTTTCATTTTGCATCGTACCATAAAACGGCACAGGCACAGGCACAGGCACAGTGGGATGGTCTAAGACCATGATTGAGAAATGAAAGGTACCAGGTTCAAGTCCTGCTTGGAAGCGGAAGGATTTTTCCAACCGTGCTGCGACCCACAGTTAATTGGGAACTCGTGGCCTGGCATGAGTAAAACAAGGATTTGACAAATGGGATTTAGGCCTTTGGCCTATGGTCGGTGGATCTGATCTATCCTACCCACCGTTTAAGAGCCGCATCTGACGCCTGATCATGGGGTGGTGGCGTCCCACGGAAGCAGAAAGGTGGTTCTTGACCAGGGAGTAGTATGACTCCTTGTTCTTGACCTGCCCGGTACGTGAACCCGTCGAATTTTAAATTTTTTAAATTTTATAAAACGATAAATTGCATAGCGGTTCTGTAAGGCGCATCCTTGGGGGGGGGGGGGGGAGGAGGGGGGGCTACTCGACCAGCTACTCGCCCAACACTCAAGACAGAGAAAGGTTATCAAAATTGGCAAAGAAGTAATCTTACCGCCAACACTCGGTTCACCAAGCTCATGAATAGTCTCCTAAGATCATTCATGCTGGAACTGTCGGACTTTCTAGCATCCACTACTCTCACAAAGGAGAGATCCAAGTGCTGAGAGATTGATTTCATTCCTCTCCTTATGGCATTCTCCACTTCAGTGCGCTGTTCCGGTTTAAGCTTATCAGCTCTTGTGGCAATGGCGATGACATCAAGTTTCTGCGTCTGTTGCAGTTCTTCCTGCTGCTCCTGCTGCTGCTGTTCTTGTTGCTCAGTCTGTAGAGAGCCTGATAATTCAAGAAGACAAGTGACACGATTGCCAACAACAAGGAATACCATTCCATGATTACGCAGTTAATCAATCCAGGACAGTATAGAATTCCAATTTTTCCCTTGTATGCCGAATGGAGAAGGTGGCATGCCTCTCCATCCCAAGATCGTATCACGGTATAACTAGTTTGAGTGATATGGGAATCAGGGCAGGCCGGTGATCAACTGCTGCTCGTTTTTGGGGTATTTTCTGGGGAGAAAAGCTATGATTGAACAGGAAACTGGAACGGTTTGTGCCTCTCGTTTTAACTTTGTGATTTCCGGTAGGGATTTACGTGCAGTGTTCATGATTGGCTGAATGGATCATGTGACATGCAAGAAAATTATCCATTGCTATCCACTTACCATCATCAGGTGCACACAAGCGACCAACAATATTGGCGGCAGTTGCACTGACAGTCTGTGCGATCTCATCAACACACTGTGTGCCGTCCACCACTATTGCAGCAACAGATGGTGCTGTCATGGCAACCGTGAAAATGTCATGCGACGCGGTATAATGTTCTTGGCCTGCAAAGTCGCGGAAATGCACCTTCACCTTCGATTGGTTGTAAATGGTTTCTTCAATTCCCTATAAGGAATAGATAAAAATACAAAATTATTGTGCCCTGAGAAAGAGAATAGTGTATGAATCATACCCAGCTCATTGCGATCACACTGTTCTACAGCAACAGTATACCATACTCATGCGATTAGTGTCGCTGGGGGCACTAGAGGGGCACTATCACTGAATGCTTTTACATTTACGTCACCCATGATAAAGCAAAGAAGGCAAAAAAACAGAGCCTAATGTTTCCTGTAAACTATCACCCAAGTCTGCATCCACAGGGCCACTGTCTAGTATGCTACCAGTACAGGGCAAACTCACAAAGTGTGCACAGCACAGGAAGCCAGCTCAAATAAGGCCCAAGGCCCGCACGCTCAAACGTGCCCGGCACGGACCAAAGACTACGGCCGATTTGCAGCGCAAGAAACCAGCTGGATTAAAGACTGGCGGGCTGGACGACCCCAGAAGGAAGCAAACTATTCAAGCCGACTCCACATGGCACAAGAAAAGGATTGAAAAAGGTTTCAAACCGATTGAATTGAACAGTTGAGTAGAAAGTTAGAGAATACCGGAGGAGCAAAAAGCCCAACCGCCCAGTTTGAGTTCGAGTCACGTCAGTTCCTAGTACAGGCAGACTCCCTCTAATTCGAATACGGTATAATTCGAAAATTCCGTGAAATTCGAAGTTTTCCGTTGTACCGATCTTCTGCAAGTCCCTTCAAGTCAAATTCGAATGCATAATTCGAACTACGAAAAGTGTGCGCGCTGGATACAGTCCATCAGCCAGTGGTGCCAAAGTGAGTCCCTTGTTGCACTTACAAATCGCACACCTGGAACTGACGTCAAGCGACAGCAAAAGCATCACTGAATCCGATCTACCTACTTTCCCTCGCGAAACTCTTGCACTCCTTTGCCAGTGCGCGTTGGAAGTTTGACAATTTTCTTCTTCTTCGTCAGCCATTACGAGGTTTTCCATCCATGTTATTAGGTCATCCAATGCGTCTTCAGTGAAAAACGGGCGAGTTTGGTCAACGTTTGGTGTGATTTTCCGTGGCTATGGTTTATACTGCAAATCTTCTCGATTTGCAAGATTTGTCCAGTAATTCACAGAAATCTGAAAGTTCATTCCTGAAACGCGCATGGCACTGATTGGAGATTGGGTTTAGGTCACAACAATGGCTGTCGATGAAATGCACAAAAATTTCACTTTGTCGCACTTCCCCCTGCAGAGCGTGCAAGTCGTTTTTTTGCGGATTCGGTGTGCAGGGTACCTAAACTTTGAGGCCCGTTGATGCCAAAATCAAGTATTCAGGGTGCTTGAATTTGTGATGATTTCTGAATTCTTGAAAACTGGGCTAATAGATCGCACTCTGTCTTCGCACAAAAGAGCAGTTTACAGTATAGTGACTATGTCCTTCAAGCGAGCGCTTATTTCGAAGTGATATGGAGTTTCTCTACTCGTAATTTAAAGTTCATTTTTTCTCCTTGTCCAGCAAAGAGTCCATCCCCTGGTCCACTCCAGGATCGACAATAGTGTTGAAGAAACCCTCCTTCTCTCGGAATTTGATTCAAGCCTGTGCAAGGAAAAATGCGAAGATTGGATGGAAGATGACTTCTTCCAGGTGGCTGGCTCACTTTGCGAATCTCTGTGGCTTGTCATGCCGCGCCAGCTCATGCGCAGAGAAAAATTTGGGACGGAACAACAACTGGAAGTCGTAAAAATTGTTTACCTCTCTTTCTCCTTGTGATTGGCTTACCGCCTTTTGATAGTTTGGTCGTGTAGGGTTCATAACATCTACATTCTGCACTTTCCTGTTCGTGTTGATTTGTGTTTATATGGAATGAAACTAAACTTGTCACTAAGAATTTGGACTTGTATTCATCCAAATTACAATCTGTAGCACTCTGTGCACTCTACTTCGCAGTACATTGCTTTCAACTCACCTTTGTTCGGGATGCTAAATCTTTTGCCTTCATGTCCGGTTGATTCTCCTTACGTCGTAGTTTATTGAAGAATCCTTCTGCTGTGAAGGATGCAATGAAGGTAGATTTCCCTGAACCTTCTGCTCCACACACGTTGGCAATCAGTTCAGTAGGATCAGTGTAACCCTCAACACCAAACTCTTCACGTATCAAGCTGGTCTGGAGCATGCAAATACAGCACATAACAACAATACACAAAGCAAGTAAGTTGAACACTGTCATGAACTACAGAGTTGCTCGGTGAAATTCAACCAAAATTGCAAAGCTGGCGCCCTCGATCAGTTCCGATTATAGTATTGCCCATATTTACGTCCAGGGTGCCAAGGGCCGAGCAAATTGAGATTGCCAAATTTGGGCACGGGGCGAATTCCACCGAGCGCAACTGTAGATATTACGGTTTGTCCGCACAGCTGGACATACACTAGACACTATCTTTCATCTGACAATAATCTAGTTGCTATCGGGTTGTTCAATGCAACTAGCACTTCAAGCCGATTATGAGGACAATTGATGTACGAGTCCATAGTGGGCTCAGAGAGCACACTAGTATAGTGTCAATCATCATAATCACACACAACTCATCCCAGTCTGTCCAGGAATTCATTGGGATTTTAGAGGAGAATTTCTCCCATCAGCTTTCCTCATTCTACGTTGATGCCGCAATAGAAATGAATGATCGCCAATCTGGCTACTCTACTTGCTACACCACCGGAAGTAGTAGAAGAGATTTACGTCTCCAGTTTGGCCTCCAACGTGTGGTGACATTCGACACTCATAACACCCCATATGTCTTGTCCTTGTGCATTGACTTTGCCGTCCCTTACGATCCTGGTCTACAAGCACTCTTTCCTGTCACGTATGTTGTTACTCTTTGCTGTTCTCTCAATACCGACATTGGACATCGACAGGCCTATTTCTCTTTTATATCTCTCTCTATCTCTCTCTCTCTCCTGCTCTGTCTCTCTCTCCCTCACTCTCACTCTCTTTCACTCACTCTTTCTCTCTCTCTCTCCCTAGCCTGTGAGTTGTAACTATTACTTCCTCCGTTAACACAAAACGTTGTGATGGATTTTTGAGGGATTGGTTTGCGCACGAACTGGTGTGAAATGAGTCACGATCACTTTCTCAACCTGGCCATGACAGAGATAGGAGGCAAGGAAAGCGACCTTTCGAAGGAAACTGAGCGGAATTGGTGGTTGCGCTGTGGCAACATAGGTGATGGCAGCCATGGCGAGCGAAACCAAATACCACATTCTCGGAGGGCATAATGCAATGCTTGGCCGCTCTGACACTGAGTTTGAGAGTGAAAAAGGGCGATGGAACAGAGAAGTGATCCCACGCAATGAGCAAGTGAACAAGCAGCTGGTCCGATCGCACGGTGCTATGAAATGATTCTGAATTCAAGTCCTTGTTCAACCTGCGCAAAGCCTAGGTTTGAATGCTGATCAGGCATTCTTTAGAAATCTGCAGTGCGACGTGAGCCTAGTGTCTAAGGAAAGTCGACAGGACTTGCTGGCTGCCGCCGTCCAGTGCTGGCTGGAGCATCCATCAGAGAAATGGAATCAGTTTGGCCATCAGGCGAAATTACTGGTCAGTCGGCAACACGCATTTTTCACAAAAAATTGCGTTTCACCTGCTGGGAGAGTATGCGTGTACTCGAGTCTCATCCTGAGCACGTTTTTTTTCTTTTTTTTTCAGCTCCAGTATAGCTGTATTTTTCATTGCAAAGCCGTGCTCGATTGTTGTGTTCGTTGTTCAAACGAAGTGGACATTCATTAATGAAGGCAGAGGACATAGGAGCCTGATTGGAGTTTCTTCTGGTATAGGACGGCCACACAGAGACACTTTGGGATTTTCTGAATATAAAATACCGTACGCACGATGCTGAGATCAATTTGTGCGATATCAAATTGTTTGTGATGTACCACATCGAGCAGAACGGGATCCAAACACAAGCTTACCGACGGTTAGGCTGCCGACCTGACTGGACAAATGATCCCTGGCTTCACCAGACGCCAGAAGTCGGACACCATGTCCTTTGCCGCGACGTCCATCTCCAAAAAGAACTCCATCTTCGTCGTGAAAAGGCTTGAAATGCTCAATATTCAACCGAGATTCGCGGTCTCACCCTTTCTCAGATCGAATCATTTTTTGTTGTAGCAGTTGCAGGGCAGATCCTCGCCTTTACTTCAACAGAACATGGCTCCAAAGCATGCCTGGAACAAGCCATATCAAGGTTGCAAGCCACCCCTCTCAGCACTTTTTTTGAAGAAATTCGAAATTTCAATGGTGGAACATATACTATGAAGAGAATTTCAAAAAGTATGTTTCGCGGAGCGATCGCTCAACTTACGTCATTCAAACTTTGCAGAATGGTTCAGACGTACATGCTAGGCATGGAACCACAGAAGATGATAATCATAGCTGACACACAGAGTCACACACACAGCAGATTTGTGTGCACAGATACTAAATTAGTGGACGTCGTCATCTTCTTTCCGCTGATCTCAAATGTACTATGACGTGCTATTTCGCCTGACGGCCGTACCTTTGCTCCACATAGTTCTGGAGAGTGGTGATGAAACCAGCGAGTCATCAAATAATTGTTTCGACTCCCTGGTGGAAATGAGTAATCGCCACCGCGGGGGATCACGCAGCTTGAAAGCCAACTTGTACGACGGCATCCTCACCACCGTTCAGCGGAGTATGATCAAAGAAGCCAAGACAAGACTGAAAAGAGCTGAACAACGACTCGAGAGATATGACGACTCGCGGGCAGCAGATGACGACAGTGACGCAGGGTCAAAATATGTCGAGCGAAAGCGACGCCAACTGAACTCTCTGCCCATTCTCTTGTAAAGGTGTTGTACATGGGCTGAACTACATTTGTCCAGTGATTTACAGTCCATTCAAACTGTTCTTGACCTGCTGCAAGCCTTTTCATATTCATCAAAACCATCACGAAGTTGTTGTTAACGGAGAAAGTACTTGCTATCGTGGTGTTTGTGCTTCCCTTCTCCCCGTTGGACTTCCTTAACCTGAACTTCCACCTTGGAACATTATTCGCTTTTCGCTTCGGAGATGTGTCTGACCTAGGTGTCAAGGTGTTGAATGTCTCAGTACCCGAGCTGGGAAAGGGTTGTCTCGCGTTCCAAGGAGCTAGGCTCTGGAATGCGTTGCCCAGCGAGGTACGGGCTATACCACACCCGGCCCAATTTCGCACTGCTGCTGTTCCATACAGCATAAACCTTTGAGGCAAGACGGATCACTATCGCCATATTTTCATGATATGCCTGTCTGTTGGCCTGGCTGTCTCTCTGCCTTTTTCTCTGACAACCTATTTGTAAATTCGTGCGTGTCTTTTTAGGCGTAGTACCCTGTTGCAGAGATGTCAGCCCTCATTTGTTAGACTTTATAAGTGCAACTCCCCTCTCTCTCTCTCTCTCTCTATCTCTATCTCTATCTCTATCTCTATCTCTATCTCTCTCTCTCTCTCTCTCTCTCTCTCTCTCTCTCTCTCTCTCTCTCTCTCTCGTGCGCGCGCCCCCACTCTCCCTCTGTTTTTGGTGCGCAAAAACATCTCTTGCGTTGATTGCTTTCTTGCTTAGACTTCTGCCGCGCCTTTGTTCTCGCATTCCCCTCTATGTACTAGTGTTGTGCAAACCCTCCGTCTAGTCTGTCTCATTTTGCCCCGAGATGTTTAGACACATAGTGATTATGGCGCTCATCATTCGCTCCCTTGTCAATGGACAATTCTCTCCATTTGATTTTCGCGAATTCAGATAAAGAAAACAACAACCCTGTCAGTTGTGTGCCTAACTGGGCTCGTTACTCACAACTTGAACCACTTTGTCCTTCCTCACAGGCAGGAGGAAAGAGTCAGTAATCCTAAGGAATGACATTTCTAACCTTAATCAAGTCCAATATTTGCATGCGTTTCCACGTTCCAGCTATCCTCCCGGCTTCCTCCACGAGCTCCTTAGCCTGGATTGGAAAAACAGAATCAATATTTGTATAGCAGTACACTCGTCACAGTCATCAATTTCACCAGTCACAATAACCATCAAATATACAAAAATAATCAAAGAAAAGCACCCGCCATTTTACCTGTTACACCATATATAGCAAAAGTGCACGGTAAGAGATGGTAGACCTTTCAGACAGCGCTCAATACTTTACATCATACACAAAAGAAGTGGTCTAAAGTGAAGAGTAAAAATAGATGAAATGTCCACGAAGATGATACCCAAAACACCTTGAAGTAGACAGTGAGGAAAATTAGTAGACTAGTGAAGAACGCATTCTAGTCTTCTTTTACGCAATTAATCTGCAGAAAGTACTCATGTTCAAACTGGCTTCTTTGGAGATCGTCCATGTTATCTAACCTTATGTACCACTACGTGTTTCAGGAACAACAATCATACCATTAGGGATATCAGCGAACGCACTGCGCAGCCCATCTGCGCAGGTCAGCCTGGCCCATCTACGCGCGGCCGACAAGAAAACTCATGAACACTTTCATTTTTTTGCAAAATATATCGTGCGAAGAAGATGCACGGAATGGCTGAAAACTAGGCTGAGGAATAGTAGCATCCAGAGACTCTCAAACAAATTCATGGTCCATCGCTTCTGACAATGGCAGCGAAGACATCAGGGAACTGATTGCAGCAACTCTCTACCAAGCGCGATGCTGGTTACTCACCAGGGCAGGGCGCTTCCATCGCGCAAGAAATGGCCGCGAACGAGAAATGGAAGTCCGATTTTGGAACGATCCAACCAGGGAAATTCCTTGAAAATTGGCCTGAACACCTCTCATACTGGTGTTTCACGATGTGCAAACTTTCAGAGAAATCGACCGGGGAGAAG